CTGCTACCTCGGGCGGCCAGCGGCGTTTCCACTCCGGCCCGGCTCTGCGTCTCCCAGTCAGGTTTGGACAGCGTGGCTGAGGCTGGCCCAGCACGGCCTCTGTGCTGGTATTGTTTCCTCTTGTCTCTCATCAGGACACTTGTTGAATCTAAGGGGTCACTCAGATAATCTGAGATACTATCAATCTCAAGACCCTTAACTCAATGACATCTGTAAAGACCCTTTTTTCAAATAAAGTCACATTTATAGGTTCTGGGAGTTAAGCGGTATCTTTGGAGAGGGGCAACAATTAATACACTATATCCCCAATTCCCTCGAAGAAGTCCCTAGCCAAAGGTGCCCTCTCTCCTCTGTGGGCTCCCATGTCCTTTATTCGAGTCTCTTAAGGCCCCTTTGTTGTTCTGTTGTGCAGTGTAGACATGTTGGTACTAGTAGTAAGAGTGTGGGTTGCAGAAGTAGAAGTCCTGGGTTCAAATCCCAGCTCTGCCACTTGTCAGCTGAATGGCACTGGCCAAGTCACTTAACCACGTGCCAGGGGGCCAGGATGCAGGGAGGTGCCACGGAATTTAATTGCAGCTGCAGGACCGGCCTTCTCACCACTGACGCTGAGATTTTTGCAAGCTTCCTGACAGTTTGTGCCCTTCTTACCTGCCCCTAGTCCCCACCCTGCCTCTGCCCTGGGTTTTAAATCTGTAAGGTAGGGCTAGTGACCTCCCTGATGGAGAAATTGTCTGGATTCAGTGAGCAGACGAAGAAACGACTCGGCACGATGCCTGGCACAGAGCTGAGGCCCAGTAAATGAAGCTGCCATTTCTCTGAGCAGACAGTGAGTTCCCGAAGAGCCGGCCTTCATGTCTAATTCATTTTTATATTCCTAATAACTTTAAGCACATTACATTGAAAATAGTATGTGATCAATTATGTTTGAGTGAATTAATGAACATGTGCTAAGTTCGAGGCATATGGTGATGGGGTTAGTGGTCTATAGTCAGGCAAACCACTCAAGCTGCAAGCCCCAAGATCAAGAGTTCTTGAGCTGATTCATTTCCTTGTTCGTGTTTCGTGTTTAGAGGGTTTAGGTGAGGTGCTTTGGATGGAAGGAGTAGAGCCCAAGCCTCAGTAAATTTCTGAGGTTGGTTTTCAAATTAGAAGCATGAAGGAAAATGCTCCCAAAGAGGGATGCGTGCACGCCGGGAGGATTAGCTCGCATCTGGACAGCAGCAGCTCAAATGTGCAAAGTGGCTTTGGTCCACGCACGCTGGTCCCGTCAGGAACAGCTGGGCTCCCTCTCGGTTACGCACTTGCCAGCGCCCTGGGAAGGAGACTCTTTCCCAGAACTCGGAGGCTATCTTACATCTTTCTGGAACTCCACGAAGCTCTTGGCAGCATCTGGCCCAGGTGGGTTGCACCCTGAAACACATTTCTTTGATACTGGGATTGATATTCCTCTTTTACATTGTGGTTGGGTTTCATTAACTCCCAATAAAGATCAACATTGCAGGAGGAGTTTCCTCCCTTTCTAGCAAAAAAAAAAAAAAAAAAAGTTTCCTTGGATGGGCCGCAGATCCTGTAATTGACTTGCTGTCCTGGCATAGGACAGCCTGTTGTGTGGTACCCGAGGCTCGTGAGACAGGGGGCAGACCAAAAACTCCTGGACGGGAAGGCTTCGCCCTGCATTTAGCACAACTGCTAAAACTGTGTTTAATAGCCCAAGGCAGGTCTATATTTGCATGGAAACTGTTAATGTATGGAATTTTATTTTATTTTTTACTTCAAGAGGACCATCATAGCCAGACTATTGATGACTGTAACAATTAGAAGCAGCTTCTAAATTCCCCATACCATCATGTTAGGTTCAGTTTGGAGATCTTGGTTCTGAAAGTTCAAAATGTGTGTTTATCTAGCAACTTCACCGAAGCGATCCTTTCTGCTGGTGCCAGACACATGTACGAGGGCTGCAGCTTGCTGCCCAGTTCAGGGACTGCCTCTATAACCAACCACAGGATTTAAGCAAAGCAGTCTGGAAGGGTGTTGGAAAGTTGAATTTAGTAATGGCTATATTTATGTCCATAATATCACTATTACATTGGCAAGCGTGGAGCGGCTTTTGGCGTGGCTGAGCGTGTATAGTCACCATTCCTGGATGAGCTGTGTGCTTGGAAGCAAGAAGCATAAAGAGGGTTCTTGGCTTCAGGAATTTGGCTCCTTGTTTCCATCCATTGAGTCATGTCCACTGTTGCACCTGCTTCTTTTGGAGCAAAACTTACACATTATCACTATTATTCTTCAATAGCACTAAATTGCACTAATCTATGAAATCTGTTTCTTTCCCTTTCTTTCTCTGCCATGAAATAGGATCTGCAGGAGCTTGTGGGGGGTGGGGAGTGGGGGCTGAAAAATACCTTCTGAGTCACTGCTTGAGAAGCTTTTCTATTGTTGTTTTTTTTCCCCAAGTGATTCAAGGTAGCGAAAGTATTCCTGGGCAAGAAAATGTTTAAACAGAAAACAGTCAGATAGTGAAGACTTCTGCTTTGATCTACCACAGGAGAGGTAACTACTAGTCATTTCTGAAGCTATTACCGAGTTGGAGTGTGGGCTCGGACAGACTCTTCCAGTATAGGTAGCAGTACACACAAAGAACCACAGCCTTTAAGAGACAAGCTTCAGCACCAATAATGAACTCATGGCTACCATTTGTATCTTATATAAGCAAGAAGATCCTGCTGAAATAGCAAGAATATTTAGTTTGTCATGAACCATGAACCGTTGCTGTTTAAGCTGCTGAGTGCCCAAGGAACTAGAAAGAAGCTGAAGGGCACGGGCAGAGGAATCTAGACCAGGTTGGCTGACAACAGCCCAAGGACGGGCCTGCTGCTTTTGTAAATAAGGTCTCACTGGCACACAGCCATGCCTGATTGTTCACGTACTGTCTATGGCTGCTTTCATGTTCCCACAGCAGAGTGGAGCAGTTTCAACACTGTATGGCCAACGAACCCCAAACATTTTCTCTCTGGGTCTTTAAAGGAAAAATTTGCAGACCCTTGGTCTAGACAAATAGTCAGATGAGTCAAGTGTTGGCTAAATGTCCCCAACTCATGATGCCAAAAGAAGGGCTGGGTTGGCTTTGGATGTTGTCATGCACTGTGTAATTTTAAAAAGTCTTTACAAGGCAGCGCAACTGAAATTCCTAGTCATCTTATCTTGGAGCAGCAATATGGAAAGTAAAATTAGGTCTGGATATAGTGTGTATGTTACCTGGACTTCTAAAGGATTGCTAGATTGCTTAAAGTCAATGTCATTTCTCAAAACTTTTAAAAAGATGCAAATGTTGGTGATCCCTAAAGTATTGGTGTTGTTCTTGTCTTCTGTCTGTGCAAAATTCTACAATGCTCAAAACCATGTGCTATAGCTATAAATATCGTCCTACTTCAAGTAAAACTCTTTGGTCTAATTATTTTCCAAATCTTTGAACCAGTTCTGAGAGTCACAGAAATCTGTAGTTTAAGACACCAGACACATTTCTTAGCCGAGCCTTCCAGTGCCAACATGCTGGACCAATTCAGGAAAACATGCCATAAATTATGACTGTGTTATTTGAATTAATGGAACACTTTCCACAGTCACAGGAATTCTTACCCAGAGTTCAAAAAACCAGACATGGGCTCTAGGTTATTATTCATACATTTGGAGATGAATTCGAATCTTGCCTCTGTGGCTAGGTTTGGTTGGTCTGGTCAGGAGTGCAGGATATGATAAAGAACAAAGCTAAAAGACCTGCGACAATGAAGACTGCAGTCTCAATAAGTCTGATTTAAGCAACCTCAGCAACTGCAAGACAATTGGCTGAAACCTCATTGTCCTGACATGTCACAGGTGATCTGAAGGTTTTGCGGTGGTCCTTAAGGATAGGGATTATTATTTGATGTTGGTTACAATGAAGGCTAAGTCTTTTCTCCTCATTTAAATATTAGGTAGATTATAAGTAACACATGATTATGGACTCTACCTGCAAATGTTATCTTAGTAGATTTGTGACTAGTTGCAACAGAAAAGCCATTCAGAGTACAGGGGCCCTGGGTTTCTTCTCTAGACTCAGGTGGCCCACTTGGCTGTGTGCTTTGTCTAATATTTAAATGGCTGGTGTCCACTTCTCTAAACTTATACTAGACAAATTTATAAAGCTTGAAATAATGACTTAGGGGAAAAATGGTGTGTTAGTGAAAATATAACTAAGAATCCAAATATGGTTTTTGAGATGTGTTAAGAGTTACAACATATAAACCCACTTGATAAATTATAACATCTCAACAAATGTAGGCATAGAATATGACTTTTTTTTTCTTCAGTTTCCATTAAAATATAAAAGGATCTCACAGCTGAAGAAAATGTCACCACTCTATATTTTTATTTTAAAAACTGGTCCTAGTTCTTACATTTTTTCTTGCTTAAAAAGTCCACCAGCCAATGTCTTTTAGTTTTGGTATGTCCCACCACAGAATACCACTTATACATTCTAATTTCAAAGACACCCTTAATTTTTTTTTCTTAATCCTCACCCAAAGATATTTTTTTCCATTGATTTTTTTTTTAGCGAGGGTGCAAGAGAGGGCAAGGGGAGAGAGAGACTGGTTGATGTGAGAGACACAGCAATTGGTTGCCTTCCCCACACACCCAATAGGGGCCAGGGATTGACCTGCAACTCAGGTACCTGGCCTTGACCAGGAATCAAACCTGTGACCCTTTGGTGTGTGGGCCGATGCTCTAATCACTAAGCAACATCAGCCAAGGCAGACACCCTTAATTTTTAAACATGTTTTTATTGATTTAGAGAGAGAGGAAGGGAGAGATAAAAACATTGATGTGAGAGAGAACAATTGATTGGCTGCCTCCTGCACGCCCCTTACTGGGGATCAAACCCACAACCCAGGCATGTGCCCTGACCGTGAATTGAACTGGGACCTCTCAGTCCATGAGACGATGCTCAATCCACTGAACCACACCAGCCGGGCCACCCTTAATTTTTAAAGGAGGGTTATAGTAGGACTAGTTTTCAGAAAAGATGACTCACCGTTCTCATTTAGGAACAGAAAAGTGAGTTCTTTATGGGCCGATTAAGAAAATACTTTGAATAAATGAATGCGCTCAAGCCTTTGCTTCAGGAGTAAGGCTGGGAGGTCAAGTGTCTCTAAAGCAGAGTGACGGACATACTGACATCTGGGCGGCCGGAGAAGCAGCGTGCGTACAGCCGGGTGTCTGGGCGTGTTCTCTGCGACATCCCTGCGCGGGCAGCCAGGCTCGGGGAAGACCCAGCTGGCCAGCTGATCACCAGCGAGAGGTCCACGGTGTGGGGGGCACTTCAAGCTACATTCCACGAGAACATTCGACGGCCACAGCTTAGGGAGGCCTGCGCGTCCCCAGGAGCGGGGCGGGGAAGAACTGGCATGAGCGCTCGCACATGTCAGCGACAAATAGCTGCTGACACAAATTGAACATGTGCAGTTTCTAAGAGGCGGTATCGAATAACAGGCCGGCAGCCATCCCTCCGGGCACTTCAGACCTCTTTCTTCCCTCCACTCGGGCTCTTTGTTGGGTCACTTCCATCAGGCAGAGTTCCATAGGATAAGCCGTTTGAATCTGGTTGTATTTTATCCAGCTTTCGTTCCCCTGCGGAGATAATCATCACACACACACACACTCTTTGGAGCTCTCGTAGAAGAATAAGTCCTAACAAGTTCTCCTCTATCTAGGCCACATTTTACTCTCTTTTTTGATACTATGTGGCCAACCTCTAAACAGAAGAGAAAAATGTCAAGGGGGAAAAGGCCCTGGCAACTCCAGGTCCCTGCGTAAGTGACCAGCCCTGCCCAGGTGAGAGGGCGTCTCCCCGCCACGCCGCCGCGCTGTGCGTGGAAATCAGGCGGGGCAGCCGGCAGGTTAACACGAAGCATTCGCTCATCTCCAAAGCTTTCTCCCCAGTGTCCTGTCTCCTTTTCCATGTTGAGTCTAACACACGTAACAACATGGAAAAACAGCTTTTCATAGTGGCTTCTAAGCTGTTCTTAATCCCAGATATGGGGCTTTGTGAAATGAGAAAGAGGGTTAAAAATAAGTACACTTCATTTCCTACCAAAGAACTAACCACACAGGTCACCTATACCGCGTACCCTTGCCACGGATGCCGATTCTGACCCTGGATGCTCTTGGCCTCTCAGCAGCCTCAAACGGGAAAGAGGACACAATTCACACGGCCATATCCTCTCCGTCTAGGGCGCAGGCTTTCATGGTTTTTGCTTCAAAGGCCTGGTCCTAACAGAATGGTGGAGGAACCTGTGAGAACGTCACTACTCCTGTCTAGACACCTATAGGTCACCTCCAATCCCTAGCAAAGCTGGAGACTGTTGAGGGTGGTGGGCGGGGGAGGACACATCGGGGTGTTTCCTGTGTTCTGGACGTTGCCTCCGTTGTCTACATGACCACAGCGAGCGAGAGTGGAGAACCGACTGGAGAGATGATGCGTGTTAAACCGACCAGGATGAGTGAGAGAAGGGGGAGGGAAGAAGCTACTCATGCTCTGGTGTCTGGGAAGAATGTCACTCTTGGCCACAGCGCACAGGCCACCGCAGCCTTCCCAGGAACACTGTTCCTTGGCAGCCTGGCCTCTGTCTGTAGATATTTCCTCAAAGGCTCCCTGAGCATCGGGGCTGCTGCTGGAAGCCCTTCCTGTTCCTTTCTGACTCTTTGCCAATTTAAGGAAACTCACAGAGGAAGTTTGCAACATCACCCAAATCGAGAGAACAGGGCCAGTTCTCTTACATCTCCAGTCCTCTGGGCAAACTCGACATCCAAATAAATGATTATTGACATTTACGGTTAACACATCACCTCTGGTATTATCACTGAGTGTATATTTTTTGGAGATAAGAAGAAGTATGTTTTATATTAATTTAACACCCAAAACAATACCAGCAACTATCAATTTATGAGGATAACATTTTCTATTATAAATGAAAGAATACACAGTTTTACCAGGAATATTTCCAAAATCAATGTAAGACTGTGGCAGATGTTCCTTTTCTCGATTTCTTGTGACCAAAAACACACCAAGGAATGACAGAAAACACCTGTAGAATAATATTAACACAGAATGCTGAAACAACTCACAGTATTAAGTAACTGAGCTCCACATTCTACACGATGGCATAAATTCCACAGGTTTTGTTCTCTCTGTTTCTCATGGTAAGCTGCCTAAAACTTGTCTTAATTGCTGCAGCCAATAATATTTGTCCTCAGAACCAAGCCCTGGAGAGCTTCCAATAAATCTCTGCCCCAGGTTTTTACCATCTGGAGACTAATTCAGGCTCTAAACCCTTTGGGTAGACATTAGGTCTCATTTTCTATCCATGCAGGCCCAGACCCATTACTGGCATGCAACACAAGCAAAAAAATAATTTATTTTTTAATTTTCTAAGAAATTTAGTTGTCCTTGGCCATAAGAATAGTCACAGTTTCCAGATCCCAAAAGTTTAGCCTTGCCCAAATATCTTATGAAATTGAATTTCCAAGATAGATGGTTTTCTATGCTGAAAGTAGTCTGGGCTCAAGTTCGCATAACAACGATCATGCAGAATACCAGATCAACAATCAGCTAAGCATTAATGGACTGCCATTTGGAACCAGCGGAAGATCCTATACAGTGGTGATACTCTGTCCAAGTTCTGTTCTCTGCAAGGAGTCAGCAATGATGCCCAGCAATCAAGGGTTAAAGCTAAGCACCCAGACCCAGAAAAGGGATGTTACCACTCTGGTGTCATTAAGTCCAAAATGAGATCTGCCCATCTTGGTCTTTTATTCTAGGTGACCCTAGAGGTATCCATGGTTCCCTGAATGATCTTTAACCTAGGGGTTCCCAAGGGCAAGGCAGGTCTGATATAGTATGAAAAGGCCATGAAACAGCTTTAGGAGCCAGTGGGTTTATCTTGACTTTGGCTGGAACTGAAAATTCCCAGTGTTTCAGAACCCTCAGATACCTAAGTAACAAAGTCAAAGACACAGCCTTGGGTAGGGAGTTAAATTGGAAAATGTTCCCTTTAGGAGCTCAGGAAATGGTTGTTTCTTATATTATTTTCCAGTTTTCTATGCCCCAGGTACAATGCCAAAAATCCTACATAAAAGTAATAAAATTTTGGCCTTGGCTGGTTCAGCGCAGCAGTTAGAGTGCCAGTCCACAGACCACAGAGTTGCAGGTTCGATTCCTGGTCAAGGGCACATACCTTGGTTGCAGGTTCAATCCCCGAACCTGGTTGGGTCTCCCTCCCTCCCTCCCACTCTATCTGTAAATCAATAGAAAAATATCCTTGGATGAGGATTAAAAAAAAAAAAAAGTAATAGAATTTTGTATACCTTACCACCGCTGAGACTCACCCAAAAAAATATATAAATGTTGTGAGAAAAGCTGCACCAAAGAATTCCTTATAAAACGTGATACCTATAACAGGAACGGAAGACAAAAGTAATTTTAGGGTAAGAATATTTACAATAGCTACACACTGTTTTGCGAATTATGTTAATATAGGAGACCCCCTTTATCCTCGGTTTCACGTTCTGTGGTTTCAGTTACCCACAGTCAACTTTGGTCCAAAAATATTAAATGAAAAATTCCAGAAATAAGCAATTCATAAGTTTTAAATTGCATGCTGTCCTGAGTCGCGTGATGAAACCCCACACCCTCAGGACATGAGTTATCCCTCTGTCCAGAATGTCCATGCGGTATATACTCCCCGCCTGTTACTTAGCAGCTGTTTGGCTATCAGACTGACTATTGTGGTAGTGCCATGCCTGTGTTCAAGTCACCCTTATTTTACTTAATAATGGCCCCAAAGAGCATGAGTTGTAATGCTGGCAATTCAAAAATGCAAAAGAGAAGCCACAAAATGCTTCCTTCTAATTGAAAAGGTATGTATGTATAGGAAAAAATGGTGTATATAGGGTTTGCTACTATCTTCGATTTCAGGCATCCAATAGGGGTCTTGGAAGGTAGCCCTGTGGATAAGGGGGGACTACTGTATACATATTTTTCTAATATAGGTAGCCTTAAAATGCACATTCAGTAGCTTAGTTTAAAAATCTTTGCATACCATAGTTACATTTTCAATGATTTCAAAAAGAACATAGGTTTGTAGACTTTATATAATGTGAGCATCATTATTATAAAATCAACACAATTGAAATAACTTTTGCAAATAGAAATTTCTTACCCAGTCCAGGATATGTCTGAGTGGCATGTGCATGAAAACAAAACTCTAGTGACATTTCCCACCTGCAGTTTTAGGCCAGGGGTCAGCAAGCCTAACCTGACAGTCTGGGAAGACTCGGGGGCCTTGGACATAGCACTCACCTTGGAGGGCAGCTGCTGCCCATTCCGTCACTTTTGGCAGTGTCCCGTGGTCTGTTGGTCTGCACATGCTCACTGAGGCACTGGAGAATACTAGAGCATCGGACATGCTACCCCAACCCCATTGCCCACTGCCAACCCCCTGTCCCATATCCTTTTCCGATATTCCCTTTGGGTAAAGGAACACATCAATGTGTCATTTACTCTAAGGAGCTTTTTTTCTCTCCTTGTTGGTCTCAATGATTTCTTCTTGGTCTAAGATCCCAAAGCCTTCATAGAATTTTTATTAAATAAGACATCTCTAAATTATACATTACCTGAAATTAAATCTTTGTGGTGTGATGTCAGCCTTGCTAGCTGGCTGACAAATATTTATTGAGAGTCTTATGTGCCAGCCACTGTTCTCAGTGCTGCAGACACCATGGAGAACAAGCCAAAGTCCTATACGCAAGGACGCTCAGTCTGAAGCCGGTCCCCTCACCTAGAGAACACACTGCTTACAGGAAGAGACCATGTCCAAGTCTAATGAATATTTTCTGAACAGTTCGACTTCCTTGTAACCATTTTAATGATTTCATGTTATTTAATAAGCTGATGAACAATACTCATTTCTCTAAGGATATTTTAAGTTGTTTCAATTTTTTTTTTCTTTAGTAAAGTATCAATAAACTACTTTGTACACATTTTCCCCCAGAATTTTAGGATTTTTTTTGTTGCTTGAAGTGGAATTTCTGTTTTAAAGAGTGGAGCATTTTCTTTTTTTAGAATTGTAGTAAAATTCACATAACATAGAATTTAGTGTCCTAACCAGTTTTGTTGTTGCTAATCCTTACCCGGGGATATTTTTTCTATTAATTTTTAGATGGAGTGGAAGGGAGGGGGGGGGGGGAGAGAGAGACACACACATCTATTGGTTGCCTCCTGCATGACCCCAATCGGGGCCGGGGATCGAACCTGCAACCCAGATACGTGCCCTTGACCAGGAATCAAACCCTTGATCCCTCAGTCCTTGGGCCAGTGCTCTAACCGCAGAGCCAAACTGGCCAGGGCCATCCTAACCATTTTTAAATTTGCAGTTCAGTTGTGTTAAGTATATTCACATTGCTGTGTAACCAACCTCCAGGATTTCGTCATCATGCAAAACTGAAGTTCTACACGTGTTAAACAATAATAGCTCCCCATTTCCTCTGCCCCCAGCTCCTGGCACTCACCATTCCATTTCCCATTATTATCAGTTTGACTATTCCAGATACCTCGTATAAATGCAATCATATAGGAATCTTTTTATGCTGCCTTATTTCCCTAAGCATAATGTCCTCAAGGTTTATCTATGTTGTAGCATGTGTCAGACTTTCCTTCATTTCTGAGGCTGGTATATACATATTTCTTATCTCATTGTATGTACAGACCGCATTTTCTTTATCCATTCATCTGTAGACAGACACCTGGGTTGCTCCCACCCTTTGGCTACTGTGACTCATGCTGCTATGAACTAGGCATACAAATATCTGTTGGAGTCCCTGCTTTCAGTTCTTTTAAACATACACCCAAATTGCCAGAGGGCTACTCCACTTACATTCCCACCAGCAGCGCACTAGAGTTACAATTTTTCTACATCCTCATCAACACTTGTTATTTTCTGTGTTACGGTTTTTACTAGTAGCCATCTTTTTTTTTTTTTTTTTTTATCCTCACCCGAGGACATTTTTCCATTTTTTGTACAGATAGAGTGGGAGGGAGAGAGAGGAAGAGAGAGAGAGGGAAACATCGATGTGAAAGGGACACATCGAGTGGCTGCCACCAGCACGACCAACCAGGGCCGGGGACAAACTGCAACCGAGGTACATGCCCTTAGCGGGAACCGAACCCGGGTCTCTCCGGACCGCAGGCGGACGCTCCAACCGCTGAGCCAAACCAGCCAGGGCTAGTAGCCATCTTAATGGATATAAATAGATAGTATCTCCTCATGATTTTGATTTGCATTTCTCTAGTGATTAGTGATGTTGAGTATCTTTGCATGTGCTTGTTGTCCATCTGTACATCTTTGGAGAGATGTCTATTCAAGTCCTATGCCCATTTTTTAAATTGGGTTGTTTGCTGTTGTAGAGTAGTAAGAACAAGGAATAGAAACATTTTTAAAGGTTTTTTTGATAAAAACTATGCAACTCGCCCTGGCCAGTTTGGCTCAGCGGTTAGAGCATCGGCCTGCGGTCCGGAGAGACCCGGGTTCGGTTCCCGCTAAGGGCACGTACTTCGGTTGCAGTTTGTCCCCGGCCCTGGTTGGTCGTGCGGGTGGCAGCCACTCGATGTGTCCCTTCACGTCGATGTTTCTCTCTCTCTCTCTCCCTTCCTCTCTCTCCCTCCCACTCTATCTGTACAAAAAAATGGAAAATATATCCTCGGGTGAGGCTTAAAAAAAAAACTATGCAACTCGGTTCTAGGACGGTGGTAGTATGCTCCCCAAAACTCCAGGAAGGTGCCTGTGATACTGCAGCCTTGTCAGCCTGGTTATTGCACACAAAAAACTCTACTAAGTTAGTAGGCAAAATATGGTATCATAATTATATACTTTTCAATGGGGACAAAGAGGAGAAGTTAGTCAAGAAGCTTCACCTCCATTCATCACTTCAGTGACATCAAATAGTTACTCTGTGTGCTCAATATTGAGGTCCACGCCTGTGGGTCCTCCTACAAAAACTTCTTTTGAAGGGAACTACATTTAAAAAAATATATCTTTAGCACATTCATATTAACCATTAGGCTGTGTGTCATATCTATAACTCTTTTTGACCTCGTTTCTTTTTAAATAATTCTAGGGCACACAAATGTGCAAATTTCTCTTCTTTTGTCAATAGGCATGAAATGCTAAAAATAGATGTCCTTGGATATAATATTTCTCTTTAAAAATATGGCTCAATTTTGAAAAACAGAAAATGTATTAGTTACTTTTAAAAGTTGCCCACTGGCAGTCACATTGTTTGCCATGAAACAAAATGATGAGCCAATTAGGAAACAGATAATCCCTAATTACCTCCAAAATACATACATTTTGCAATAGGAAATGAAGTCTCACTATGAGAAGGTGGTGCATTTGTCCAATAAACCAAAGAACTAGGGCACACCAGTACCAAACTTAGGAGTGATACACCTGAATCTACTGTATTTTGGTTTGAAAGAAGTTTCAATTTCATACTCTTTAAAAAAACACTATTGTGTCTGACATATTTAAAAAATTACCCAGAAAATGCCTGGCCATTGTAGCTCAGTGGCTGAGCATCGACTCATGCACCAGGAGGTCACTGGTTTGATTCTTGGTCAGGGCACATGCCTGGGTTGTGGGTCGGATCCCCAGTGGGGGGCATGCAGGAGGCGGCCAATTGATGTTCTCTCTCATTGATGTTTCCATCTCTCTCTCCCCCTCTTCTTTCCTCTCTCAAATCAATAAAGAAAAAAATTAAGAAAATAAAAAATTAAAAAAATTAAAATTGCCCATAAAAATAAAAGAATGTAACAGTAGAAAAATAGAGGCCAGAACAGCAAACGTAGTAGTTTCTGTTCTCCTCTGTCTGGCCTTCCCTGGACCACTGGATTCAGTTTGGGACCCCACTCCCTGGCAAGGTGGTAAAGGCCAGAGAGGGGAGAGCATGGGACTGGGGATGTTTGGCCCAAAGACAAGAGGACCCTTCCGCTGCTCTGACTACCAGAAGGGCTGGCAGGAGAAGACTCCAGAAAGCAGAACTGAGATGAGTGTCTTGAATTCACAGGGAGGCTAATTTCAGTCCAATATAAGGAAACATTTTCTAATAACTAGAACTCTAAATAATTACAGTAATCTAAAATGGGGCTGAGCTGTCTTTCACACAAAGTGGAAAAACCTGTCCTCGAGGATGTGATGGAGGAAATTCAGACACGGGGTGGAGGCTGGCAGGATATGGGCTACACAGATCCCACAACCCAAGGATTCCTTGATTTGCTCCCATGTTAGTGGTGGGGGTAGAACACCTATGCACAGAAAGCCAAGACTCACCTGCAATGATAGCACTGGTTGTAAAGAAAACGTGGTTGACTGGCACCACCACGGCTGTATTGTAGAGTTTCGTGGCTTGATGCAGGAACCTAGAGCAGAAGGCACTTCCTGAAGCCCTGGCTCTAAGAGATGCTCAGCAACAAGTTAACAGTAACATCGAGAAATGCATGTTCTTTAGCTACGACTACAAAGGGAGAGGAAGTGCAGTGAAAGGGCATTTCCAATCAGCAGTCATAGCTTATATGCATCTGATGTATGAGATCAGATGTCAGGTTTTATGGTCTGTTTAAACCAACAACAGTAACAATGAAAAGCAATTAATCATATTCTGAGGCCACAGAAGTTTGAGTTGGAAGCAATTCAAGCTGCTGGACCGGTATCACACTGCGGCTGATTCATTACGGTAGACCCTCGAATCTGTTAAATATCATATCTAGGGAATAGTATAGCTATGCATTGACATGCCACGTGCCAAGAAAGAAGATGGAGAAGTAAAGGAATGTTTAATGTTTCAAAAACAATGCTTAGGACCCCAGCTGCAGAGCACATGTGGGAACTCAGCCTCTCACTTTGGCCACCAACGTAATTCAGGTTCCCACACTGCCGCCTGGCCAGGGACGAGACCGCTTTCTAAAGCATCGCCTTGCGCTGACATCGCCTGGCTGCTTCCAAAGAGCACTAGTGCTGAGGTCCTATTCTCGAGCAACTAAAAAACAATTTTGTGTGGGCAGAGCCCAGGTGTGTCTGTGCATGCATGCATACGTGTATACATATACAGAGTGTGGCAAATAAGGGTTACAGTTGTTTGTATGGAAAATACAATAATTGATAAAGAATAATACAAGAACAAACTGTTTCGTGTACTCACAACTGTAGACTTAGTTTCGCCCCACCCTGTAGGCACATATACATGCATACTCAAACCTCTCCAGGTAGTTGTAATGGCAGCCAGGGCTCAAAGCCACATAGTTCTAGTGTGAGAGATGCAAGGATTGAGACAAGGTGATAAGAAAGCAGTTCACCTTCGATTGTATCTGTCTCTTAAAAGCATAATGCATAGCCCTGGCCAGTTTGGCTCAGCGGTTAGAGCGTCGGCCTGCGGTCCGGAGAGACCCGGGTTCGGTTCCCGCTAAGGGCACGTACTTCGGTTGCAGTTTGTCCCCAGCCCTGGTTGGTTGTGCGGGTGGCAGCCACTCGATGTGTCCCTTCACGTCGATGTTTCTCTCTCTCTCCTTCCTCTCTCTCCCTCCCACTCTATCTGTACAAAAAATGGAAAATATCCTCGGGTGAGGATAAAAAAAAAAAAAAAAAAAGCATAAAGCATAGTTTAAAGAGAATGACTTCTAAAGGGTAGTAGAGCAGCAGTGATTGATTCAGAAGAAGAAAGAGATGAGACAAAAACAGCAAGATTCAAGTATTAGAAACACACTCTGTCTTATAAGGAAATGACTAGTGAAACAGTGACAAAACACTGGGCTTCTCCAGTAACTGTCCACACTCCTTGTTACAGGGCCTGCAGCCAAACCAGGACAATGAAGACTTTACTACTAGGACCTAAGGAAGGAACCAGGCTCTTCCCGTGTTTGAGCTCTGACTTCCTTTCTGGCACTGGGATGGTGGCTCTGCATAGCATTTGGGGGTAAACAGAAAACTTTCTGGTTCACTCAAGAGAGTCTCGCAGGCAAAGGCATATTCAATGTGAAATGGCGAGGAAGCGATCGGAGCAGATGGTGGGGGTGGGTAGAGAAGAGCAGAAATTAAAAATGTTCCATGTCACCACTATTAGGCCCCAAGAGAAACATAAAACAATCACTCCTCAGTCCCTAGGGTATGAAGCAAATTCTGGCCAAAGATGCAAAGTTCTGGGGAAAGGATTTCCCTCCCGGCCAAACGTCTGGTTTTGTCCATCTCTGGGCAATTAATGAGCATGAGCTAAGAAGTGAAGGTGAAGGGTTCATGTATTTCCTATACTTAGAATGAAATCCTGGATGTGGACCTGCCCCTTTGATTTATTGCTAATGACAACCTGTGTACGATGGATATTAATTACAAGCAGAACAGCATCAGGAAAGTATCAAAGTGCACTTAGCTGGATTATGGCTGCACTTTAGAAATCACTAGATGTGAAGGCAATGCTCAGTAAAAACTTCTTATTGGATGTGAAGGCTATTGCAAGGCATGTTAGCTGAGGATAAGCTGTAGACCCTTCACCCTTCCGAATCAGTTGCACCTAATTTTAATTATCATCTGAAGCCAATAAAGATTGATGCCCGGAGAAGCACAAGGGATGTTGAAAGACGGGTGAGGGTATAGAAGCTAACTTACTTGACTTGGAAAACACAAGATGCTATCATGATGATAAACATTATGTAGAAAATGGGATAAGTTAGTTGCATTTTATCCGTCACAGAAAAAGCGATCATGCCTGAGACAGCTTTTACTGAAATAACAGTCAATGAGGCTGAAAAACAAAAAAAAGGAACACAAATAAAATACATACCTGAGGTAGAATTACAAATAAATATCTTATGTTTACATGGTACAGTAGTAAATACCCCAATTATGCTTTAAGCAGGAAGATTCTGAGCAGTAGCCCTGCTGTTCAAGCTGGACTGGACTTCAGAGCTGCTTCTACCAGCTACAGGTCTGCTGTGTGATGTGCTTTTTATCTTTGGAGCAACATGCTTATTTTCCAGCCGTAACTGCTGAAAGGATGCTACCGAGGTCATAATTACTAATAAATGGGAAAGTAGAAAACAATGAAGGGAGGAGATAACAAAAATGAGATTTCCTTGTGACATTAATGGGAAAATAACTGTTAAGCTATATTGAAAAGGTTAAAGCCAAATAGATGAGAAGACTGGGAAGAGAAAAGCAACTCGCTCTGTGAGTATACTAAGAGTTGTACTTAGTTTATGTATGAACCCTTCATTAATACATGCCTAGAAGTTTCATTAAAGATATTTTTTAAAGAAGACACTAATAGGAAGTGGGACCAGAGCTGAGTATTCATTCCCAGAGTCAATCATAAATCTAAGATTTAATGAGCCTGTCTACTCATTTTCTGTGCGAAAGAGGAACCTGCCACATGGGAACATGTTGTTCTTAGGTTCCAAATAGCACTGAAGAAAAAGTGACTTGACAAGGTTATAATAATATGAAAGCATTTTCTGGAAACACCATGTTTCTGTGGGAAGATGACAATGTTCTCTTTTTGTCCTAAGTCCCTTGAAATTGCTGTTACCTATGATTCCATAAATTAGCTGAAACCAGAAACATTAAAAAATAAGGTTTACATAAAACCAAATATAAGTCAAAGGCAACGTGAAGGAGAAAAACTGTTTTTGTTGCTGTTGATATCTCATCAATATATCTGAACTTTATGCCTTTTGGCTTTGAAAAGGTGATTTTATACATATATATTATGTGTTTAAAATAGCAGGTGACGTGTTCCAACCAGGAAACGTGTTCCATAATCTCCTTTTCCAAAAACTGAAAATATACTTTAACTCGAAGGGTACTAGGACACCCTTTCAAATTAGGCATTTTCTTTGTGTTAGAAGTCATAGCTACCAGGGGAGACCCGGTGATAAATTCTAAGAACAAACACCCAATCGGAACAAAGAGGCCCTTACAACTGAGCACTTCTTCATTTTAAAATGTCTTTTGTCCTGATCCTTTTATATATTATCTACAGATTATGACAATAGTCATATCTCAGCAAATCTAAGAATAGTAAGTGTCCATTGAGAGGTGTATCACTTGATGGGTGAAGTTTGTCAGGTTAGTTGTTGAGGGATCTTGATTTCCTCCCAAAGACTTTGCTTGTAATCAGGGCACAGTGTGGGGACGGTCCACAGCCTGGCTTCCCAAAGGGATCACTGACGCAGAAGCAGCTGGACACACTTCCATTAGCCCCAGAACCTCGGGATTGCAAAGGCCCTTCAGGGTCATCTGATTTTACAAATCTTCTAATTCAACCGCCATCTGATGTTAAATGATACTTACACACAAAATAAGAACAAAATTGGAATTCTTTGTTAAACAGCTAAACCAACTATTAGTTGCTAAAATTAATCATGATATTTTCAAACCAGGCACAATCACCAACTGATTAATCACTATTTATTATAACTCTGAAAGTTATGTCTAGACTGGTATCAAGTTCTAAGATTTTTTTGGTGGTGGGGAGGGTGGTTGATGAGGACAGGTGGAAATACAGAATTGCAATGCAGTCTCATTCTAATATATATATATAAATAGTACTTATGTATACACAGAAAAAAGGCTAGGAAAAACTACATCAAGATTTTATCAGTGGTTATTTCTAGGCACTGGGATTATGAATAATTTTTAAAATAGAAAAGTATACATGTTCATTTAAGAAAATTTGGAAAATGCAGAAAAGCCTGGAAAGAAAAATGAAAATCACTTGTAATTTCAACACTCATTTCCAAATTATTTCTAACATTTGGGAAATTTTTTTGTAGTTATTTTTCTATCTCTGACTATGAATATATATTGTAATATGTGAACCATACAGTATGTACAAATTAGGAACATTTTTTCCATTGCCATTAAGTATTTTCTATACCATTAAGTAGAATATGTAAGCAAACATTATTGCAAGTGTTACAAAGGAAAGAACTGGTTTCATTAACACCACTGGTCATGAAGTGTTATTTGCCTGGATCCTACTTGTAAGTTTTTATTTGAGATTTTTACATCAATATTCAGTAGGGACATTAGTTCACAGTATTCTTTATTTGTGATAGTTGGGATCTGTATTTATGTTAAAAAAGAAAGTGAAAGCTTTCTTCTCATGTCCCCAAATCGTTTGAACAACATTAGAATAATATGTTCTTGCTCAGCCGGTGTGGCTCAGTGGTTGAGCATTGACCCCTGCACCAAGAGGTCGCCAGTTTGATTCCCAGGTTGTGGGCCAAATCCCCAGTGGGGGGCCTGCAGGAGGCGGTCAATCGATGTTCTCTCTCATCCATGTTTCTATATATCTCTCTCTCCTTTCCTCGCTCTCTAAAAAAATCAAGAAAAAAAAATATCCTTAAAAATTATATGTTCTTAAAGATTTACAGACATTACCTTCTAAGATGAAAGTCAAAGAAAGTCTAGCTAGGCTTAGTTCTTTTTAGGATATAGCTTTCTTAAAACTCCTCTGTTTCCCCTCCATAGTTATTTTCACTTAAAAATAAAGTTTATTCAAGTTTTTCTATTTATCTTCCACATATATATATATGATTTCTAATCTTAGGTATTTGAGATTTCCCCCTTTTTTTCTTATGGTAGATCTATTTTATTATCTTTTAAGGACTGATTCTTGGATTTATCAACCCGTTCCATTTCTGTTTTCTTCCCTTTATCTTTATTCATCGTTCCTTTCTGCTTGTCTCGGCTTTATTTTAATAAAATAAGTTTGTGAACAGAAACCTGATTTAAAATAAAGTAGGGAGGCCGAGGTGGGAGCTGTCATGGTCATGAAGCATGGAGAACTCTCCGTAAAAGTGGAACATCCTTCCACCTCCTCTTCCCTCCGGAAAAGAGTTTCCTCTCCGCTTTTTTATGGGACTTGAACGTGGCTGCCTGTTCCAGGTTGCAATTCTTTGTTGTTCCTGAATAAACCCATTTTGTTGGGAAAATATTTGGCCGACTTGGTGTTTAAGATTTTCAGTGTTTTCCCCTTCTTAGGTTGAGTGACTGATCGACTTACATTTAAAACAATAAATTTTCTTCTGAATACAGTTTTAGTTATAAACTATAGGTTTAATATTAAATGTTTTCACAATAACTTAAAAAATATACACTGCCATGAAATCTTGGTTTCTACTTTGGCTCAGCTGCAGTTTAATAGTGTTAACATCTCCAGGTCGTATGCTTTTACTGCTTTCTATTTTTGTTATTATTTTCTGTTTTTACTTTGCCGTGATCTGAGAATGTGGTCTGTATTATTTCAATTTCCTGGAATTCATCAAGGATTTCTTTGTGGCCAGTTATATGATCAAATTTGGTATTTCTTGTTTTCAGGATTTAGAGTTCAATATTAGAGCTGCCAGATCAAACTTAGGTATTCAGTTTCTCTATCTTTACATATTTTTCTGTCTACGTATCTCCCACGAGCTAAGCGAAGTCTCCTACGCTTACATTTCTGTTAACACCGTTTTAGAAACAGCTGCTGCCCGGCTCCTGAGCATGTCAGCTGGTGCCTCCTCCTCCCAATCCCCATCCTGCCATGATGAGCAACCAAAGGTGAACGGAAACCTCCGGGATCCTTTGTTGCACGTAAGGCTTCTGCCTTGATTTTACCTTAGATAGTAATATGGTGATCTCCTGCTTTTACTTTCAATCTGAATTATCTTCTTTTAGATGACATGTATGAATGAAGTCGAAATATTTTACCACTAACAAGGGCCCGCCAGAAGAGGTGCTATTTGCTAACTCTCATGGAACCGAACCACAGCGAACTGGATGGACACCGTTTCAGAATCTTTTTAAAAATCCATTTGGGAAATTTTATGAAGTCCATTTGGGGATCTTTCTTTTTTACTGGGTAAACTAACCCCATTCTCATGTATACTCATAACTGATATGTATGCTCTTAATCTGTTATCTTTCCTATTTAGATTTCTCTTTTCCTTCAATATTTTCCTATATAATGTACATCTTTATCTCTTAGTTGTTTGCTTTTGTTTCTCCCTATCTGGTAATTTAGAAGAAAACAAACATAAAGTTCCCTTTCTATTCTTCTGACCAACAGCATACTGAACTATGGTAGAGAGTAAATTTGTTTCTATAAGTATCTATCATAAATACAAATCTTTCTGTTCAAAGGACAGAACTAGCTGGTGAAATGGAAAAACGAAAACTCCAGAACCACAATGACATGGTGGCTGCAACCTGCCCCTGTGATACTGTTACAGAGGATACATGAAATTTTATTCTAGCCGACAAAATAAACTTCTTAATTAAATAACATATAATGAACAATGCTTCTCTCCAAATCAGGGAACAGGATGTAGGCCTTCAAACAAAGGCCTGGTTTGTCATGCCTGCCATAAATCGCTAAGAGCCTTTTGAGCATATTACAGGAACTAGCTTCGGGGAAGGAGGCTGACTCCAGCAACCGGACATTCTGGCTCCGGGAGACTTGCTGATTCGCAACCATAAAAACCAGACCTCCGCTTGACCAGTTTCGAGATAATCATCGAAGTGGATTGTGCTGACTTACATGTAGAGAACTTTCAAATCCCCTCCCCCTGATTTCTTTGTTTTGCTTTCCCTCTCCCTCCCAGTAAAAACCTCTGCCTGCACTGAGATGTTGAAGTGGTTTTTGAGAACAGGAGTCCGCCATCTTCTCAGGTCACAGCACCTGAATAAACTGCTTTCCTTCTCTCTAGCACCCATCTCACAAGTTTGGCTTTTGTTGCATCAGTTACAGTATAAGTACAAGGTACAAAGTCAGCAAATACCACATAATGTATAGTTCATCTTATTGGCAAAGAAGAGGCAAAGACAGAATTGTAAATAAATTTTTTTAAAAAAGGAATTTTCCAAATGATTAGTAAGATTTTCTAGTGTTGAGATATATGAAAGTATGTGTGTGTGTGTGTGTGTGTGTGTGTGTGTGTGTGTGTGAGAGAGAGAGAGAGAGAGAGAGAGAGAGAAATATATAGTGGACTTATCTAAGCATCAGTTTTTAATCTTATAGGGTGCCAGGTGCCTCTGGGGGGAAAAAAAGAAATGAGTAGGTAAACAATGAATGAAAGAAATGTATATAAGAAAACCATATGCTTACATTTATTTTTCATATTAGCCATATTTAAAAGTCTAACAATGTAAACAGGATAGGTCTTGAGAATTTATTTTTATACTTCTCAATTATTAACTAAGAAAAAAATTCTTTGGGTTGTCAGAAAGCAAATAAAATGACCCCAAAGCAAAAATTGCTAAATATATTTTTTACAGAATTGAGTATAAATCAATTGTAGTAACAGACATACAAAGTATAGTTTGCATAATTGAGACTTGGTTGCTTTCTATAGATCAGAGTTGAAAAGTAAAAACAATGAGAAAGGAATAGAATGCTCAAGTATTTTCCTTCAAATCTTTTATGACTGGATTAGAAAATTAGGAAACAAAGTATATCCTTACCTAGAAGTGCCACCAGGGTTAGTAGAATCATAATGTGCTTAATTCCTTTTCTTTTATAGAAATATAGGAGAATGCAGAAAATGAATATTTCTAAAATCTAGAAACAAAAAAAGATAAAAAGAATAAAGTGTAAGTTATTCTATACAGTCTTCAGAATATCACACGTCTTTGATTTTGCAAGTTCTCATATGAGAGTTGAGGGTGAGGTGACGAGAGTTCCTAACGACAATTATAAATACATGGGAACAATATAAGAAACCTCAGCTGCCCAGACCCAAAGCTTTAACATTACCCACATGCCAATGTTGCCAGAATTCAGATCTCCAGACCTGACCTCCCTGCAACTCCAGTCTCATTTACCCAGCTCTCTACTAGACATTTCCACATGCATGTTTGATAGCCACATCACACGGTATTTACCTTCCCTACCTGTTCTTCCTGGAGTCTTCACCTCCTCAGAAGGTGACATCACCACACTCCTTCCTTTCCCTCACTTTCTGCCACGCCCTGACCACTGCAATAGCTTCCCATTCATCTCTGATCTTACTCTTGCCTCTCTACAATCCAGCCATTCAGTAGCCAGAGGAATCATTTAAAAACACAGTCTGGATAATAAAGTATTTTATTCATAGAGAATACATATGATATACATATCAGATATTTACAGTGACAGGACAAGCACTCATGTGCCCCTAACTTAAGAAATAGAACCAACCAATACCTTTGAAGTCTGCTGTGTGCCCCTCCCCGCTTTGCCTCCTCTCTCCTACGACCTCCCCAGGAACCACTGCACTGAACTTTGTGTTTCCCATTCATTTTCTTTACAGTTTATCACATTTCTATGTATCCACAAATAATACCCTGTTCATTTTTGCATATGTTTGGGCTTTATACAAGTGGGGTCATATTGCTTTCACTTGCTTGCTTTTTTTCCACCGTGGATTATGTTTACGAGATTCATCCAGGATGATACATGTAGTAAAAATATAAATTAGATCCAGCCATTCCTTTGCTTACATCTCCCACGGCTTATTATCACATTAAGACTAGAATCCACCTCCCTCCTGGATCATAAAGCCCCAGCAGACTTCTCTGACCTCACCTGTGGTCCAGCCTGCGCCAGCCTCAGGTGGCCTTTCCCCTCCCTCGTCCCTGGCCGTCCTCAGACTGCTCCTGCCTTTGGGCCTTTGCGCTAATGGTGCTGCCTGGGAGCTCTCTCCCTGATCTTCGCACAGCGGCTGCTTCTAGTCACTCAGCTCTCAGCTTAAACGTCACCTCCTGTGAGAGTTCTTCCCAGACCACTCTGATCTGACAAGCCACCCAGTCATCCTCTCTCACCCCGGACTGCAGGTGGCTCCTGTGAGCATCTCATCGTCATCGGTCATGCTTCTCGTCCACATCAGGTGTGCTCCCTGCCTGTCTCCCCCACTAGCGCACCAGCTCCAGGAGAACAGGGACCTTTTCTGCCGTTTGCCACTTTGTTCTGTCACTCGGTAAGTATTTAGGAAATTAATGAGTAAATTATACCTCAAATTTATTATGAACAACATGCCAAAAGACAGACCTAATGTCTAATAAACTGAAGGTTCAATTAATTGACTGAATGTCTAAAAATTTCATACCTTTAAGAAAACTCTAAGTTTGAGTTCTCAATTTTATTTTAACTTTTTTATTTTGGGCGGTCCTTAAGATTACCTGAAGCCACTCTGTTTTTCTTTCAAAGAGACAGTGTCCATGAACTGAGATAATAAATATGAATGTTTACTTTTCTGACACCAGACAAGTAAAAATACCAACACTAGTATTTTTTTTTTCCTTAAAAATGACCCGAGTCACGGCTTCACCGCTTTCGGGGCCGGCTGCACCTGCGGGGCCCTCTCTACGCCGACATAAGTCTCCGCTGTTTGCACTCAAGGTTTTGCTTGTTGGCTTGTTTTTTCCTTTAATCCTCTGTGGGCACGGAAAGCGGCAGGACCAAATCTTCTTCATTTAATAATCTTTCCATCTAATATGGAAAATTAAGCCATTCCTTAGTCTTCTTTTCCTGGTAAACTAAACCAATGATTTTAACTCTTCCTTATCAGACGCATTTGCCTGGCCTTTGGCTCAATCACGCAGCACTGCAGAAGCTATTACACTCCTATCTCTGCCTTCCCGAAAGCTGCCATCAAACCCTGGGTGTCCCAACCTTTGTACGACTCATCCCTGTTCGCAGGAACGTCCCTCTTGGCTTGGTCTTTGCTCAGCCGCAGGTTTCTGCTCCTCACATGACACAGGACCCCAGTATTCACTGACAGATGGCGGCTCTTCCCACGCTAACACGGGGCATATTGATTTTTTGGGGGCAGGGGGTGATGAGGGTAGTTATCAAGTCTAAAAGAATAATGTATGACTTTTTGTAAATTCCACCTCCGAGGCTTCAGGTAAATAGAACAGGAGTTCCTTTTATTCACAGAATGGCTGCAGCTGCCCTGGGTTCTGTCTGGTGGCAAAATATCACAGAGCTCCCAGGAATAAAATAGTCAAGCAGCATGATGAATTCATGTTATTTTTTTCTAGCGGCATTTCTCCCCCTCTCTGAAAATATCAGTATCAAAGAAGCTGTGATTTCTGTGGGTTGCTGCTATCTCAGAGGTCAGACATAGTAACAGCCCTTCCTGCGCGCTCACTAGATGATTTCTGGTGCTAATTCATTGAGTCTTCACAACCACCTTTGGAGTAGGCCCTCTTATTATCCCCATTTTACAGACGGGGAAACCAAGGCTCGGAGGGGTTATGTAGCTCTGGTGGGCAGAATAATGGCTCCCTAAAATGTCCATGTCCTAATCTCTGGAACTTTTGTATATATTATTTTACATGGCAGAGGGGCTTTGCTGATGGAAGGCTATGACTTGAGATGGGGGGAGGCCTGGGTTATCCAGGTGGGCCCAGTGTAATCACAGAGGCTTTAAAAGCAGAGAACCTTCCCAGCTGGTGGCCTTTAGAAGCTGGAGAAGGAGACGGATCCCCCCTAGAGGCACCAGCAAGGAATACAGCCCTGCCGCTAACCTTGATTTCAGTCCAGTGTGACCTGTGCTGGACTTCTGACCTCCGACACTGTGAGTGAATACACGTGTGCTGTTTTCAGCCATTGAGTTTGCAACAGTCTGTTATGGAAGCAATAAGAGATTGATAGGTTTTGGTGCCTGAAGCCTTTCCAGAGCTCCAGAATGTTCAGGATGAGTTTTCGGAATTGCTTCTGGGTTTTCTGGATTGGCTCTCTAATCGGATTAGATTGAAAGACACTGTCGCCCAGTTTTCAGTGGTCAAAAGAGCACTGGCAGGTCATGGGATGCTGGGACAAGAGCGATATACATAATTTCTCCACGGATGCCCCACTTTCAGTATGAAAATCTGAGCCTCCGTTCACCTCATCTTCTCTTGAGTTCTTTCTTTGATATAACTTCCTGGTCCAAAAGACATGAGCTCTGCCCTGGCTGGTGTGACTCAGTTGGCTGATGTCGTGCCATGCACCAAAAGGTCACCAGTTTGATTCTCAATCAGGGCACATGCCCAGGTTGTGGGTTCGATCCCTGGTTGGGATACGTATGGGAGACAACCAATTGATGTATGTTATCTCTCACATTGATATTTCTCTCTCCCTCTCCCTTCCTCTCTCTCTAAAATAATCAATTAAAAAAAAAAAGAGAGAGAGCAATGAGCTCTGCAAAGATTCTCTCTAAGGCCAAGTCTGGACGGAGATCTGATCCTCGAGGTCAGCTTTCATGAGCCTGCTCAGTGAGGTGACGGCAGTGTGCGCGGGGAGTGGACTGCCTGGTGGCTCTGTCTTTGTGTGTATGTGACCTGGGGCCAGTTACTGAACCTCCCTGCCTCAGGTTTCCCATCTGCCGATGTCCAGGGCTGCTGTGCAGGTAAAGGACAGAATGTAGTCGGAGGCAGGGACAGGTCAGCCTGCTCGGTGAGGGCTGGCGACTGCTACTGCAGAAGTGAGCCCAGGGGACCTACGAGCTGACCTGACGGCATTCAGACAGCAGAGCAAACGGACCTCAGGCAATAGATACGAGGTCTTACAAACTCGGTTTTCTCCATTCAGGTTTTTCACACCTGGTGGTGGGTTTTAAAGCAGCTTTGCTAGAAAGGCTGTTTTGCTAATCGCTTTGGGGTAGATAATTACACTAAATGACAAACTCGGCCCCTGCTTCTGCTGATTTAATTTTCGTCTGGCAGCGAGAAAATGAGCACCAAGCAGACTGTTTTGTGAAGGATTCTATGCTTGAAACCGAGGTTTCAGTTTGAATAGTCGGTTGGAAAATATGGGTGGGCAAAGAGACTACAGTCAAGCCTGCCAAGGAGCGTGAAGTAATTGAGGCCTAGGGCTGCATTTCCTCAGGTGGGTCTGCAGACCCAGCTAATAGGTGTTAATCAACTAAAGGTCTTTCCAGAAAAGGGCTCCGAGGTCACAGAGGCTGGGGGCATGCAGGATTAACAAAATTCGGGGTCTCTTTCCTAAAGTACTTCTAGTTTTTTACATGCTAACAGAGGGGGCCGTGTTACACAGCATCTCTCCAGGCTAGTTTGACCTTGAAAATCCACTCAGATTGTTTGCTTTGCTTTTTGGCAAGCACCAGGTAGGACTACTCCTCTATGAATATAGGCGAAGAAAGGCTGTTTCCGTGGGGGAGCAAAGGGCCCTTCATTCTTTACTGGCCAGTGGACCCAGGTTTCTCACATCTCTTCCCACCCCAAAGAGAAGCAGCTCAGAGGACAGGCTCCGGGCCTGTCTGAGGCCGGCCCTTCCTGCAGGCCTCACGGTGAAACAGATATCCACCTGGTGCAGGTGAACCCGCGAGACAGGAGGCGCTATCAGCCAGTCTGTAATGCAAGTTTACAGTCCCATTTGAGAAATATAAAACTTCTTCAGACTTTAAATATTTATATTCATTTTTGTTAGCTTTTTAATCAGGTCTGAAAGGCACTGCAGGCCCTGCTTTCATACTCAGTGTAACACACAATTAGATGGATGACACTCTAAAGAAGAGTTTTTTTACTCCTCACCCAAGGATATGTGTTATTGCTTGTAGAGAGAGAGGAAGGGGGAGAGGGAGAGAAAGAAAGATTGCCTCCCGTACACGCCCCGACTGGGGATCAAACCTGCAATCTAGGTATGTGTCCTGACTGGGAATCGAACCCACAACCTTTTTGTTGTATGGGATGACACTCCAACCGAGTCATCCGGCCAGGGCCAAAGAATAGTTTAATTACTGTACTTATGATTTTTGCAGTCATGGTTTGCAGAAAAAGCACAGAATCTGCCACATCCAAGGATTAAGTATTAATTACTTAGGTGTTTAACAGATTTAAACCAAACCAAACTTTAGTTTAAGATCTTAGTATATAACTGATAACTTCTGATCTTTAGAGATGTAACATATAACAGGTTAAATTTCAAACTAAGATAATATAGATCTATTTCCCTCAGAGTCTAATGCCAATAGAGATATTCAAATGTGACTTTATTAAAGGTTTATTTTAGTCTATCATAAATATCTGGAATTATTTACATATTTTGGTGGCATTTAATTTCAAATATACTTTCATTATTTTATGGGACTATGGGTCTCTCTCAGGACTGTGAAATTCCTGCTACAGAAATTCCTCTCTTTACCCAGGGTGACTAATAAATTGAATGAATCAGTGAATAAATGAATGAATGAATTTAAGAGTTCACTTTGGAAAATGCAATTAATTTTAGAAGTTGTTTTTTTTTGGGGGGGTGGAAATATAAGGTATATCAAAAGTAGTTTTATTTTTTTAAAATGTTTTCTCTGGAGTTAAAACAGTATAAGATACATCACTATCAGACAATGCTGTTTATTCCCCCAAAACAAGTCTTGATGCATCTTTAATCTCCATAGGATTCAATTTAGGCTATTAATTTCTGGTCATAAACTATGTGTCCCTCTTCTCACTGGATGAAGAATTCGTTTTGCCTATAGGCAAAGAATAACAATGTGTTGGTAGGACTCCAAGTCTAGGCTATCAACAAGTCCTTCTAGTTCTCAGATTTGATTGATGACAACGATGATAGTTAACGGAGTGGGTATGAAGAATAAGTAGGAAGTCACAATGAGGTAGGCAGAGACACAAAGTATGGTGGACTGAGGAAGGCTACTCTGAGTCGGGGAGCCCAGTCCTAAAGGCTTATGGAGGGCAGGGGCAAGGGGAGCCTTCCAATATAAGAGAGTAGTGAGTTAGGAGAGAAGATACTGAGTTCAGTTTTTGAGATGTTACATTTGAAGAACCTATGGGACATCCAGGCAGGATAAGTAATCAGTGGGCAGACAGGAACATAGATCTGCAGCTCAGAAGGGGCCTGGGAAGAAAATGTAGGTGTGGATTTGGAAGTCCTTCTAAAGGATGATGGTGGGGTAGGCAATGAGGTCACCCTAGAAAACACTGGAGGAATATTTAGCATGAATAGGTAAGCATGGTTAGCAGAAGATAAGAAGGAACTGTCAAGAGTCTGAGATGAAATAGCCAGAGAGGAAGAGGAGAAACAGGGAAAACAAACCGAGGCAGCAGGGAGGAGAGCAGTTCTTGGAGAAGATGATGGGTCACAAGTAAACACTGCACAAGGTTCAAGAAGAATCAAGACCAAAAAAAAAGCAATTACTTTTTTTATTTTTTTATTCTCACCCGAGGACATCTTTGCATTTATCTTCAGATAGAGTAGGAGGGAGAGAGAAAGAGACATATTGATGTGAGAGAGACACATTAACTAGCTGCCACCCACACGACCCCAACTGGGGCCAGGGACAAACTGCAACCGAGATACATACCCTTAGTGGGAACTGAACCCGGGTCTCTCTGAACCACAGGCCGATGCTCTAAATGCTGAGCCAAACCGGTCAGGGCAAAAAAAAAAGCAATTTCATTTGGCAATTCATGGGGAGGGATCCACTAGATTATAACAAATGGTGAGTGAATAGGATCTGAGAAAATGGAGGGGAATACATTTTGGTGGTGAGTGGAAGGGAAATAAGATAGTTCATTAAAGGGTGTATAGTATATGAAGATAAATTTTTTTTTTTTTTCATCCTCACCCGAGGACATTTTTACATTTTTTGTTCAGATAGAGTGGGAGGGAGAGAGAGGAAGAGAGAGGAAGAGAGAGAGAGAGAGAGAAACATCGATGTGAAAGGGACCCATCGAGTGGCTGCCACCGCACAACCAACCAGTGCTGGAGACAAACTGCTACTGAGGCATGTGCCCCTGGCGGAAACCGAACCCGGATCTTTCTGGACCACAAGCTGACACTCTAACCGCTGAGCCAAACTGGCCAGGGCTAGAGCAGATAGCTTTTTTTTTTAATTAATTTTTGTTACAGATGTTTCTCCTTTTTCCCCCACTGATTCCTCCCTCCCCCCCTGCCCTTTCCCCAGATTGTTGTCCATGTCCACTGTTCATGCATACATGCATATAAGTTCTGTGGTTTTAGAGCAGATAGCTTTTTGAGATCACGTCTAATCCTAAAAATACATGATTCTGTGTGCTTTGATCCTTTTTCCTGAATTCACAACTATTTGACCAATTCAGTTCTTGGTTTAATGCTCAACTATCCCAGGTTTACTCTTATCACCTGCCTTCCTAGAATATTCTTATTCTCCATCTAAACCAACTTCTGTAACAGGTTACATACCAACCATTTCAATCATGTCCTTTCTTTATACCCACTGGATACAGCCACTGCATCAAATAAAACATCCCAATTAGTGGCTCCCAATCCCTGTATCAGCTCGTTCCGTCCTTTCTTTTACACCTCTCTCGGCATTGTCTTACGGCTGTCTGTGTCTCCACAGACCACTGGTGTCAATGAGAACGTTTATGAGAGAATATCTATCTTGAATAAAATTCAATGAAGTAAAATATGTCTGCAGGTACTTTGCGTTGGCCTTGGAAGAGAGGTTTCTTTGTTTTTATTTTGAGTTGTCCTAAAAGATGTTGCTCTGAAATTTGCCAGATTAAATGTTGTGAAAATAGTTCCAGTCACAGGTCACCCCCAAGGACAGGATACCTGGGAAACTGAGGGACTTCTATTGCTGAGTTAGTGTTTCAAATACTTCTATATTAATAAAATATATTTACATTTTAATGTGATATTAATGCTGAGAGAAAAGATTATATTAGTTCTCTAACACCTGAGTTACCAGTGGTCTAGATAACATAGTTTCTGCCATAGTAATTAGAATTCTTACCAAATAGATCAGGAACTGCCAGCTAACGAAGTAATACTGTATTGTTCTTGCAGAGATAGCCTGAGTTATATTTGGAGCAAAGTTCACCAATAAATATGATCCTGCAAATGCCAATGTCATACCTTTAAATAAAATTGAAAAGACAAAATAAGTTGAAAAGGGACATTTCAGTCTTTCTGTTGATGTAAACATTCCCTACAGACTGAGCATTGCTGTAAAAGTGCTGCAGTCCCTCCCTATTAAAATATGACTCATCAAAGCACCCCTAGATAGCATCACACTTTCACCCGACAGCATTACCTTTAAAGAGGGATAAGGGCAAGGAATGGATGGGGCAGGACACAACTTCTGCTTTTTCTCTGTTGTTTAGATGAATCCTGGCCTCTCCTTGGAGAAGCTTTCCCCAAGATGGAGAAGAGCAGAACATGTGCATATGGAGACATGTGGGCCAGTAAGTGCAGGATGGACCTAGATCTAGGTCGAGAGGGTGGGGCCCAGAGGGTGGAGTCCATCACCTGACCATCCACTCTGCACTTACTCATCTTGGGAGCCTTTACACACACACCACACACACACACACACACACACACACACACACACGGGTGATTTTACACTTTGAAACTCTGGTAAATGAGCACCTTAATCATTGCCATTTACTGGAGTCCCTTCAGCAGAAATAACGAAGGTGAACACTGACTTTGCTGCAAGATTTAGTTAGTACAATTTAGAATCTAGAATTCCAGGCACAGCTGAGTAAGATACTGCATAATACACCTATGTAAGGAATGTGCTACCGTCACCATTTTAACATTACTTAAAATACTGGAGGAAGGGCACGTGTGTGGGGCGAGTAGCCATGGAAGGAGGGTAAAGGAAGAATGCTTCCAAATAACACTGAGAGCTACTTATTTATTAATAATGAGCAGCCAGAGAAAGTGATATATGTAGCACTTTTCAGGTAGCACCCGCAAAAACATAATTCAGCTTGCCTCATCACTGAGGTCAGCAATGTTGTGTACGTAATTTACAACCAGCATTGACTCCAGGCTGGAACCATTCGGTTTGTCTATAAAATCTCACAGTTCGAAGACACCAATTTCCTATTCTTCTTAACCAAATGATTTAGGATTTTGAACTCTAGTTTCTGAGAACAAAGAGCATTTGATTTTTCACACAAGCTAAACAATAGCTATTCAGGGTATTGTAGAACTGGTAAAAGAAGTTTCATCTAAGTAACAATTTATTCTGCAATGCTTTGTGAAGACAGAAATTATATACACAATTTTAAAAGCTATTTCTAATGAGATTTAAAAAATAAAAACAACATACATTATTAAGCATTGTAATAAAAGGAAAATAATAAAAACCATATATAAGAACTTGGGAAAAATTATTGGTCTTGTCCTTTCTTCAGGAAAAAAAAGAGATCTTTACAGTTACTCAATATTAGATTCCTAGGAAGAAGATATTAAAAAAAGTTGTGTAAACTTGGTATAGTAAAGTAGAATAAAAGCACTGAATACAATTTAAAAGTCTCAGAGACTTCCAACTTTCTTTTGTGAAATCCAAGATCCTTATTTATATTAAGTTTCTCTGCTAGTTATTTTTTTTTATTTCATCTAACTGTACCTAGTGTCATTGACATTTCTTTTTTAAAATTCACTTTTGAATGGGTCACACATGTATATGGTAAAACACTCTCAAGCACACAAGGGTGATCAGCGAAGAGTTAGATCTCTTAGACCCTGACGGCCTCCCAGTCCCCCCCTCCAGGTTAACTCCTGCAAATAGTTCTGGAGGTTTTCTCTTCTGAGATATTTTATGCATGTGTGTGTGTTGGTATGTATGCGTTTTGTTTTGTTTTTTACACAAAGGATATTATACACACTTTTCTGTGTTGCACTTTATTTCTAATCAACAGAACATCTTGGAGAATGTTTCAGTATATGTACGGCGGCCTCGTTCTCTTCAAGTCTGCATAGTATTCCATTATATGGAGGGAGTGCTACTTACTTAACTTTCTAGTACGTTCCCGTGTGACACCCTGACTCACCCCTCCTCCACTTCACATCTGTCTCTATATTTGCATTCAGTGCCCATTTAGACCAATGCAGATCTTCACTGCATTTCAAAACTCCTTAAAAACAAAGTGACTAATGGTTCTGCAATTATACTTTCAAAATAATTTTTTTAAGGTTGAACTTGCCAGAGTTTTATTGTACAAAACTTTGTAATACTCATTCTTTTTTTTTTTTAAGTTATCTTTATTGTTAATAGTATTACAGGTGTCCCTCCATTTTTTCCCCACTGACACCCTTCACCGCCACCTCCCCCCGACACCTGTCTTCACTGCACTGCTGTCTGTGTCCATTGATTGTGCATATATGTAAATAAGTTCTTTGGTTTATCTCTTCCAGTCCCCCAATCCGTTTCCCTCGGTCTGTTCCCTACTTCCATGTCTCTGAATCTATTTTGTTTGTCAACTTACTTTGTTCATTCTATTCCACAAATACGTGAGATCAAAGTACTTCTTCATATGCATTATTTCATCTGAGCATCACATCACTGTGAGTCCATTAAGTAGTTCTATGGCAGCTCAGGAGACCATACATTCTTTCTTCTTAGTAATTTTAATTTCAGCTACCTCCAGCAATGACAAAGGCAGCCTGGATCGCTGCTACCTGTTATATGCTTGCTTATTTGGTGTCATTGTTTTCTATGTAACTGTCTCCTTTATAAATCATGTGCACACTTTTCATCAGTGTTTAAGTGCTGCAGACAGTCGTTGGCAGTTCCTTAAATAGATTTCCTTAAAATGTATTTGTATCCCACTTCTTTCTAAAAGTGCCATGCGATGTCAGTTCCTGCTGGTTTTATTTCAGTAAAGTCCCTCTTTTGAAAGACACAGATTTCTGGCTTAGAAACTTGCTGTTTACCGTCTGCTGGTCATTGCCCAGGAGTGTCTGGGAGAGAGACGGTAAAGGGAGGAAAGCAGCCCTTGCCCTGACTTTGCTCGTGGAAACGGTCACATTTCAGGTCAAGAACTGATTGTGGGGGTCTAGTCTAAGCCGAAACCGCTCCCACAGAATTCAAATTTCACCATTACTTGCTAGCTGGAAGTTATTTGTCCCTCTGTGACTCAGACTTCTCATCTCTAGGTACAAATTAACTGTCATACCTGCGAGACTCCAGGAATCTGGCTCTGCAAGATAGTTTGAGATACTATGTTTGAGAATCTCGCCTGTAAATAAGTAGGCCTGATATGACAGAGGACCCTGGGACACAGGGACCTCAGGATGCTGACTGCCACCAGTTAAGGGCCATCCGAGTTAAGCTTAAAAATTAGTTCAAAATTGTATCTGTACTATGAGAGTCCAGAAATCATCAGCGACTGTGGCTGGGGCTATCTCTAAGGGGTAGCAATCCAATCTGAGAACAGAAGGGCTGGATGGGAAGGAATCGGCTGGCGCTGAGTGAAGACTTCTCATTAGTCTTAAAAGAAGAAAGAAGCAAAGGAAATGACATAACTAACAGAGAAGAAGAAAACCAGCAGCCCTGCATTTGCTACCCACTGCTATTCTCAGGGAACTGGTGCGCAGAGCACCAACATCTGGATATTGGCGGGGACCAAAGTTGGAGCAAGTGTGGGTAAGCTGCTGGCGAGAGTCAATGACTGGACATGACCGAGATATAGGGATGTGGCCCCACCTGCCACCCTCATGCCTAGACCTGCAGCAAACACATTTTCTCATTAAATACAACTCAAGTCACTTAAGAGTCTACCAAAATCTGGTGAGAGTTTCAGATTTAACTTGACACAATATACAAATATTAATAAAATCTCTTCCTATAAACTTGTCATATGTGAAAAACAGGTAAACAAACTCATCTCTGCTCTTTATAGATGAGGTGTGTTGTGGGAGGGCATATGTCAAGGGAGAGAAATCTTTCTGTGGTTGTTGTTAATCCTCACCCAAGAATGTTTTTTCCATTGATTTTTTTTAGAGAGAGTGGAAGAGAGGGAGAAGTGAGAGGGTGAAAGAGAGAGAGAGAGAAACATCAATGTAAGAGAGACACATTGATTGGCTGCCTCCCACACACAACCAATCAAACTTGCAACCTAGGTATGTGCTCTAGACAAGGATCAAACCTGTGAACCTTCGGTGTGCTGGCTGATGCTCTAATCACTGAGCCACATTGGCCAGGGCAGGAAAATCAATATTTTAAAAGTGATGTTCTTAAAACTGTTGATTTCATAGACAAGTACAGTTGACATGAGTTACATTTTGATTACCATGATACTACAATGTGATAATCATAACTATAATGGTAATAGCTAATACTTATAAGCACAATTCTAAATGTTTTATATATAACTAACTTAATCCTTACAATAAACATGTGAAAAATAATTATACTATTAAGGTATTATAGTATTATAACATACACCATATATATCATATATATATATATGCATAATATATAATATTGTATAAAAATATTACTCTCCATATTGGGCATATGAAGAAATTGAGTCAAGGAGGGAATGACTATTTTGTCTGGAATTTTCTAGCTAAGTGGAGAAGTTGGATGGAAACCCAGGTAGTGACTTTCTTATTGACCACACTCTCCTGCCTCCTGTATGCATGAAGGACCACGCTGACGCATGGACAGCTCCGCCCCGACATTGTAGTCTCAGCAAGTGGCACCCAGGAGCTGTGCAGAGCATAACCTGAGGCCAGACGCAGCATCCCCAGTGGGGACAGGGCACCGACCTCTCCTGGCAGTGGGCCTTGACCAGCCCTGACGTTCTTTCAGGAGAGCGTCTCCAGACTAGAACCAGTTTCATAACGTGGACAATCCACCAAAAAAAGTTCTCAAGTCAAATTTACTTGGGAGGAGGGGAGTTAAACAAGCTTAAATAGTCCTTTTACTGGAAGACCCCTCAGGTCCTCAATGTGTTGGTGTTCATTGTGAATCTTCCAAAAGAGGATATGGTTGTAACATTTTCTAAGCATATTTGACCATGACAGCATTCTGAAGTAGTGCTGCAAGGAGTATTTCATACTTTGGGGAACGTCTGACATTGAACTGGACGCAGCTGGAAGACTGCAGCCTCTGT